AGGAGAGGGACACTTGTCACAAGACAGACACATCGGGGTAGGTCATGCGAAGATCACGCGGAGGCAAAGGCCGAGGTGGGAGGGATGCAGCCCGCAGTCGAGGAAGGCCCGTAGCCACCAGAAGGGGGGAGGAGGCGAGGAAGGATTCTCGCCCAGGGCCATCGGCCAGAGCGCAGACTTGGCAACACCTTGATTTCTGACTTCTGCCCCGAAGACCAGCGAGAGAATATGTTTGTGTAGTTTTAAGCCACCCACTTGTGGTACTTTGTTACAGCAGCCCCGGGAAAGCTAATGGAGTGGCCTTGGAGTTAATTCAATTCTTGCACTGTTTTAACTCACGTCCGAGTCTTCTGGGGGAAAATCTACCCTGTCCATGGGGATATTACAGTAATGGTCTCATGAAGACGGCAGTGGTGTTCTGAGATGGACTGAGCCCAAGAGGCCAACAGAAGAACCCCCCCGGAATGCCGGGGTCGGGGCTGGTGGCCGATCCTTCTTCTCTGCTTTGATATTTCCTCCACAGAGAAGCAGCTCTGTTAGTGTGACTTGCCTACCCTCTCTACGTCCTCTAGTTCCTGAGCCCTGGGTCCAGAGGGAAGCAGAATCCGAGGGCGAGTTTTTGGGAGAAGGGGCAGGGCAGACATCAGCTACGCCCCTCCCTTCCCCTCCTTGGGAACAGCTCACCTGCAGAGAGCTCACCTGCAGATGCTCAGCGGCCGCCGGATGGGCTCTGCCCATGCGTTCCCCTCCTGTCTTGTTGCTCAAGGTTTGGGCAGAGAAACAGGTGCTGTTCATAGGCTCCCTTGCACACTCACACTTACCATATTATTTCTAGTTTTCAGCTAGCTGATGGTTATTCTCCTACCATTCCGTCCCACTATTTCAGTCTACATACTTATCCAGCCGATATGGATGCGTTTATCATTGTGGCACGAAGCCATAGGAACGGTGAGAGATGAGGACACGAGGCTGCCTCCCTCTTGGATCTCCCGGTGCACCTGCAACTCGGGAAATGACCCTTCTCCCGGGCCCTGTGACTCCTGAGATTTCAAAGATGGAGGGGTTAGTGCTCCCTCAGAACCTTGGCTGGGAAGATGACCCCTCTTGTTTACCTTAAACTGAATACTTTTTAAAACCATGGTCTCTGGTTTACCTAGTCAAGAGGAAGCTAAAGGAGGAGGCTGGTAAGAGGCAGCCAGGAGGCTACTACAGAGGGGAGAACCCTCCCCCGCCCACATGCAGAAGGCCGGCAGATAGCATCCCTAACCTGGCTCCTGGCACTGGGTTGACAACAATCCACTTCTAATCAACTATTGGAAAGAAAACTGGATCGTGTGCTTGTGCCTTGGGGCTCCCCGTCAGCACGGTTTCACATCCAGAAGTGTGTTGGACAACGTGCATCCAGCCTTCTTCAAGCTGTTCTCTCTCTCCCAAAGCCCCGGTCACCCCAGCAACCTCTCCCCTCATCTTCTCATCTCTCAAACTCTGCACACTGCTCTCCTTTGCCCTCCCCTGGATCCTTTCTTCTCTGGGTCACTGCATATAATTTATTAGTAGAAATTCTTCTGATTCTTTCCAAGCCCAGGAGAAGTCTCCCAGCTGACTGAGCAGAAAAAGAATCAGTCCATCTTTTTTTTAAAGATTTTATTTATTTATTTGAGAGAGAGAGCGAGCATGTGACACAGAGAGAGAGTGAGAGAGAGAGAGAGAGAGCGTGCATGAGCAGGGGTGAGGGGCAAAAGGGGAAGCAGATTCCCTGCTGAGCAGGGAGCCGGACTCGATCCCAGGACCCCGGGATCATGACCTGAGCCAAAGGCAGATACTTAACCCACTGAACCACCCAGGCGCTCCAGAATCAGTCTGTCTTTAAAGGCAGAGGGGTAAAACAATATTGCCAACCTGCATCATTACTTTTTCTTTTGTGCTTGTCACCCCATTTACTTCCAGAGCAGTCTTCCTGCCTTCCCAGCAGAGCTGAAGGAGGACACTGAAGGTGGGCAGCTCTCTTCCCTCGTCATGAGGGCCCTTGTTGGCAGAGCAATGCCTACTGCTGTAGCTCATCGACCCTCCGTGTCTCAGCTGTGGGGATGATTTTCTTCCCCGGTTTCCAGCACTAATGTAGACTTTTATATCATATCCATTTAGTGGTTATGGTTAGGTGGTTTGAGTAAAAAAATTGAGCTCAAACCATCTTCTTGGATCAGAAGTCTCTACCTGACCTGAAATTTCATGTCAATACCAGGGTTTTTGTTTTGTTTTAGTTTTCTTTTCCAATTTCTTTATTTATGCTTTGCAGAACATAGGACATTGTGTTCTCAGTTTTCCTGACTACATACATGAACTGAGGAACATTTATTTCATGCAGTCTTTTGGTTTCTTTCTTGGTTTTCAAAAACAACAATAAAAATACACTGCTCTGGCACATATTTAATGAAATAGCATTTAGCAGTTTCATGGGGAATGCCAAGTAAGTCCCACTCTTGCTTTGATGGTAAACCAGGGATCCAGGCTAGGATTGAATGTCATACTTGCCTTGGAGGACTCGGGGGCTTCTGGGTATGCCTTTCAGGCTGACGCTCACAACGGAAGAGCAAAAGAACAGAGTTGAGGAAACATGCTTCAAGCCTGAGCCTCTGAGCCATATGAGCAAACGATGAAGACAAAGGCAGAAATCAAAATCAGAAACCAGTATGTTCCTCTTCCTCTTATGTTCTCTGTGTTAGTGAATAACACAGGGTCCATGTCAAAAATCAGGGAGCTAGCCTTGACTCATCTCTCCCTGGTGCCCTACGTTTTAAGTCATTCACCAAGTCGTATCAATCCTCTCTCTCTGACAACTCTCAAATCCATCAATTTCCTCCTATGCCCCTGATGGCTTGTGCCAGGGTATGCCAATAGGACTCTCGCTTGGGTTATTAAACATACAGCAGAGTAATCATTCCAATCTTATCATGCCATGGCTCTGCCAGATATTATTCTAAGCAAGCCCTTGAGCTTAAAGTCCAAAACCCCACAGCATGGCAGCATGTGTGCCCTTCACAAACTTGACCCCTGCCCACTTTCTGTCCATTGAACTTGAGCAAATGCCATTTTCACTTTGTGCCCCGAATGTATTCGTCTGCATAGACTGGTTTATGCTACAGTAACAAATAACTGAAAAACAACAGAGGTTCAACAGATAAAAGGTAATTGCTTGTAATATATGTTAAGAAAAAAAAAAGAAGAAGAAGAAGGTAGCAGGAGGGGAAGAATGAGGCGGGGGAAATCGGAGGGGTAGACGAACCATGAGAGACGATGGACTCTGAAAAACAAACTGAGGGTTCTAGAGGGGAGGGGGGTGGGAGGATGGGTTAGCCTGGCGGTGGGTATTGAGGAGGGCACATTCTGCATGGAGCACTGGGTGTTATGCACAAACAATGAATCATGGAACACGACATCTAAAACTAATGATGTAATGTAGGGGATTAACATAAGAATAAAAAAAAAAAAGGTAATTGCTTGTTCATATAAATCCCAGCATAGGTTGGATGACTCTCCAAGCCATCCGTCCATGAATTCATGGGTCAGCAATCCAGGATCCTTTGACTTGTGGCTCACCATGCTAATGCACAGCATCTGTGTTAACTGCCCAAGGGGAAGGAAGGGACTGGAGAAGCCACGGGAGCTTTCCATTGCCTTGACTCGGAGGAGTTACACAGCAATTCCACTCTTATTTCATTGGCCAGAATAAGTCACATGGCTCTGCCAGAAAGCTGGGAATTGTAGCCTCCAAGGAGGAGGCATATAAGAAGGGATTTGGCGAATGTGCCACATTTTCTCTGCCACACCAAACATTTGAAAAGCATGTGGTTGTTAAATTGGAACTTTCATCCTTGGGCCTTTGCACGTTTTCCTTTTTGTCTGGAATTCTTACTCCACACCCAAACCTTCTTCATGAATAATTCCTGCCCAGACCTATTTTTGTGGAGGAATGCATGGGAATGCTAGGCTAGAACCTCTTTCTCAGGATTCTGAAAGCTGGAACAGTATTCTAGAAGCTAGCTTTTAACTGGCACCCTTAAAATGAGAGATAAGTTACATCCCTTTAAGTTTGATTTTCAAATCAAATCAAAATGTTTATTTATGTAGATTTTCATATCTCCCTGTGTGATAAAAAGAAGTTATGTTTAGATGGTTGGTTCTAAGTCAATGAGCATCCATATCTCTAGTTCTGGACCTGATGTGATATCCAGCCCATTTCACAGCTGATATGGAAAAGAGAAATGAGATGAACAAGTAACAGATGAACTATTTCTTAATTCTCTCTCTCTTTTTTTTTTAAGAGAGGGAGAGAGAGCATGAGTGGTGGAGGGGGAGCAGAGGGAGAGGGACAGAGAGAATCTTAAACAGGCTCAACACCCAGCCCAACGTGGGACTTGATCTCACAACCCTGAGATCATGACCTGAGCTGAAATCAAGAGTCAGACGCTTAACCCACTAAGCCACCCAGGCACCCCCTTAATTCTTTATTTTTTTTTTTTTACTGTAATAAAGTTGTCAACACTGTATTATCTATTATTATGTAACAAAGTATCACAAAGCTGGTGGCTAAAACAATACACGTATCTTGCAGCTTCTGTATTTCAGAAATCTAGGCAGGGCTTACCTGGATCCCCTGTTTCAGGGTCTTTCACGAGACTGCAGTTAAAGTGTCGGCCAGGGCTGAGGTCTCATCTGAGGCTTGACTGAGGAAGGATGCACTGCCAAGTTCATGTGGTTGATGGTAGAATTCAGTTTTTTTGATGGTTTTCTGCTGGAGGTCCTTAGCGCCTTGCCACATGGGTCTCTCTATTATTGGCTCCCTTGATCATATCAAACAAGGGAGTCTCCTGGCAGGAGGGAAGTTACAATGTTATATAACATAATAAAAAAGTGCTGTCCCATTGCCTTTGTCAGGTCCTTTGTGTGTGTGTGTAGTTTCATGGTTTTATCAACACAAATATGATGGGCACACAAGTTGTCTATTCATTTTTTTTGCTGCACAGCCTGGCACTGGGCTTGCTGACTCTGATGGCCAGCTGGGCTGCTCTTTCCACAGTGGTTCTGTGGTTCTTGGGGGAGACATTGTGAGCAAACTCTGCACAGTAAGATTTGTTGCACACCAGCAGCACTTCAAGCTCCTTGATGCTGTGGATTAGGAACTTCTGAAAGCCACTGGGAGGCATGTGCTCTGTTTCCTTGTTGCTCCTGTAACCAGTGTTGGGCATCAAGATCTGGCCCTTGAATCTTCTATGTACCCTATTGTCAGTGCCTTTGGGTTTCTGCCAGTTGTGCTTAATTTTGACATATGGATCTGACTGGTGCTGGATGAACTTCTTGGTCCTCTTTTTAATGATCTTGGGCTTCGTCAGAGGACTGAGGTGGCCATGATGCCCAGCAGGAGATGGCTGCCACCTCTGTATGGAGCACCGAGGAAGAGAGACCTTGTCATATTTTATTGCTAGAAGTAAGTCACAGGTCCTGTCCACACTCAAGGGGAGGGGATTACACAGTGGTGTGAATACCAGGAGACAGAATCACTGGGGGGGCCCGTTAGGATATGTCTACTGCAGATACTCTACAATGTTCCCTCAATTCCTTATTAGTCTTAAGATGCACACATAACTCACATGTGTGTTATATGGTCAGATAGGATTTGTTCTAGAGCAAAAAAAAAAAAAGTGATGAATTTACTTATTCTTTCCTAGATCTGACCCCCACCCCAGGCATTTTTATTATTCCAAAATGCCTATTTGGGATAGTAGATTGGTTTTCATTGGAGAAAAGTAGAGAAAGAGAGTAGATTTCCGATTTTATTTTAAACAAGAAGATCCTGTGCCTGTATGTAAACATTAGCTATCAACTGAAACATCACTTCTCCTAAGAATCTCTAACACCCCCATTACTGAATTAATTGCCATCCTACCCAGTTCTTTTATAGCTCCCTGGTCTGACACCTCTGGGAACATTTCTCATACCCTATCTCATTTGCTCCTTCAGGGATGGAGTAATATCTTATCATGCCATTGGGTTCCCAGGACCTAGCCCATGCCTGGCACAAAGCAGACTGGCAGTTAATATATATGGCATTTCACTGCATTGAAATGAAGTTTTCTTTGGATCTGAAGCTGACCAGTTGTGGATGGTGGGATCTGAAGGAAATTGGTTCTTCACACTCATTCTAGAACATTTTTGCCTGCGTCTTGGTAAAGAAGGAATAAAAATGCCTAATGAGGGGCACCTGGGTGGCTCAGTTGGCTAAACGTCTGCCTTTGGCTCAGGTCATGATCTCAGGGTCCTGGGATCGAGGCTCGAGTAGAGCTCTCTGCTCAGCAGGGAGTTTGCTTCTCCCTCTCCCTCTGCCCCTGCTTATGTTCCCTCTCTCACTGTCTCTCTCTCTGTCAAATAAATAAATAAAACCTTTAAAAAAATGCCTAATGGGCTATCAAAACCATCCCAAAGTAAGTGTGTTTTGCAAACCTAATACGTAGAAATGTTTTTTGTTGAACTTAACATATGAAAAAAGACTTTTCAAGTATTCCTTAGAGGTGTTTCCAACCCAAATATTGCCAAGCTGGCAGAGTAAGGAACATGTGGGGAAGCTGACTGAACAGGCGGGTCTCATTTTGTGGGGAAGGTAAGTGACATGCAATATGACATAAGGAATAAGCTCTTCTTGACAACTGGAAGAAAACTGTTATCACAATTTGAAACAATAGTGAGTACAAAAAAAAATAGTGTGTACAGAGTACTTTGCACTCTGTTCTTTTTTGTGCAAATTGATCAATCCCAGAATAAAATCTTGGTCTCCTAAAGTTGTCAGAGGTGATGGTCTAGATGCGATTTTTTTTCAGAAAGCTAAGAGTGAAGAGGTAAAGGAACATATCGTGCTTGGTTTTGTTTTCTTTTTCTTAAGTTTAACCCTTTTGTGAGTGAATGTTTTTCTAAAATGTAGCATGTACTTCGATACATCCATAAGCAGAGTCTGATTAACAAATGCATTCATAAATCATCTGGATTCGTGAACATGAACGTGGACACGAACACAGTACTGTGGCATCACATAGTGATTTTCTCAGGCCTTCTGAGGGGAATAAAACTGTCCCAGACTATGGTGGGTTTTTTTTTTTTCCCACTTCTCTTGTGCCTTTTATTGTTCTTCTATAGTGACTTTATGTTGTTAGTATCCCTTTTCTTAGCAGACTTTCTTTTCCTTTCAAATTTAGAACCTCTAATTTACTCTTGAAAGCCAGATGAACAAACACGTTGGAACTATGTGCAAACAAAAGTTTGAGTGGGACCCAAGTGTTTGCTGAGACGTAATATGCTTAAATCTGATGTCAGGTGAATGCTCAGAGGCCTTTTCTGTTCAGGTTGGGGTTAGAGCCACAGGGATTGCTGTGGTTGAGTCGTAGATTAGGAAGCTGCTGCTATATTATATGAGCAGAGTATAAAAACAATTTTGGACATTACCCTGGAAGGATCTATTGCCCGCAATGTAGCAGGGAAAGCTGATGCCCAGAGAGGTGAAGTGACTTGCCCCAAATCCCCCAATTTGTGGCCAATCCTGGACCTCAGTAGTGGGTTTCCTGATAATAGTTCCAGTGTTCCCCGCTCACCTTGCGCCTCTGAGGGGAAGACAAGGGTTGTCAGGGGCAGAGTGAAATGGTTCAAGGTACTAGCAAATCCATTTGTCCTGGGACATCTGTATTTTGCTCCCGTTCCACAGTAGAGTCTATCTGGACTTGTGTGTGTGTGTGAGTGTGTGTGTGTGTGTGATTATCAGAGCATAAGATCACACAAAACCAAGTCAGGTCAGTACCTTCCTAGTCCTACAGGCCATGTGGGAACCAGCCTTGGTTTGAGTCATGGAAAGTCACCAGATCCCAGCTCTGTTCGTTTCCAACACTTTAGGGGACTCTAGCCCTCCTTATCCCACCCCTAAAGATTTGAAGCTTTCCAGAAAAGTCTGTCCAACCCCACCCTCCCGACAGAGATTCTGATTGGCTCAGAGCTCTGGAGCTGCAGCAATCCTAATGCCTAAGCTCCTGCCTTGAAATCATGCCCCTCCGAGAAGTCACCAATCTGGCACCCTCAGGTGCTCTCTGGGGATCTCAGTGCAGGATGAGAGGAGACACCAAGAATGAGGGTGTGCCAAAGCACGGAGCCCCTCACCAGGTAGAACCACCTCCTGTCACCCCTCCTCCCAAGGGCTTTTTTTTTTTTTTTTTTTTTTTGCGAGGAGGCAGAAGACTTGAACACATTTTATAAAGCAAATTTCTGTTCCAAAGAGGGGCCCCACCCTGGACAGGTGGAAAACTATAACCACTAGCTGAGCATGTTTCTCATATGGGGCTAAGGAGACCTGAAAAATCATGTGCAGTCGATGCTGTCAGTGTGGAAGCTCTGTCCGGATCCCCAATATTGGCAGGTGCACCTGTCCCCCGGCTGAAGAGAGCACGGCTGCCAAGGGCTCACGCCTGAGAGCTTCTCTGGAGCGCTGTCTTTGGTTTATGGGAGCTGCCTGGGAGGTCGCGCCACCACCCAACTCTAGGGGAGGCGAGGACTGACTGGCACGTGGATATCACAACCCAGGCCTGTTGCCTTAAGACTGGGCAAGTCTGTGGTGAAGCTCCCACTCCAGGGACCCTAAGGATCAAGCAAAGGCGAGACTGCACCTGGGCCCCAGGCTTGCTCTGCTCTCCCCCCTTTCCTGTCCTGCTCTCTACTCCCTTTCATTTTTTTCCTGTAAGAGCACGCTCCTGACAACCCCACAGCCCTCAGACACGGTGCTCACCTAGCAGTCCCCGTCTCTTATCTCCTGGTGGCTTTGGCTGACAGCCTATGATTGGTGCCTATTATAGTCAACGGCAACTTCTATAGCATTTGCTCCCAAATACTTTTCTCCAAGCCTCCAATGTCGTCTTCCTGGGTGTGTTTCTCAAACCCATCTCAGAAGTCCTGCAAGCTGAAAGAACAATTCTGTATCAAGAACAAATTCGGCTGATGCCCAGGAGGGATGTCCTCTCTCTCTCTTAGGGTAAAATGCACTTACTCCCACACCAGCATCATTGATAGTAACTTCCCCCGTGCATGCATCTCACACAAATGTTGCATTGTTGTGCTTGTCCGCCTATCTGGCCGGGGTTAGTAGGCTATGCTGGGAGTAGAGGTGGGGATCCCCGAGGATTCCCTTCTTCCAGGGAAGAAGCAGATCCTGTGACTGGTAATGGAAACCGGAACTCAGGAAGATGGATCCTCGGGAGGAAGCGGAATTCGGTTTCTTAGACCACTCAGGATTGATGATGTTGCCCTTGTCCTCAGGCGGTGGGGATTCTCTTGGGGGGGAGATGGATTGGGTGGGCATCTCTGCACCCAGTGGCCCAATCCAACAGACTGGCTTTTGGGGGGTTCATTCTCTTCTCTTCTTCCCACACCCCAATCTTCTCCCATTTCTTTGGCAATGTCTTGTTTAAACATTTTGGCCAGATCTGAGTGGAGGGGGTGCACGGCGGAGGGGAGCGTGGGTGCGTGACTGAGGGAAGGTTTTGGGTCTACACTTGGGCAGAGTGGTGAAGCAGAGTCCTAATGGGGGTAGTTAGGCGGGAATCTGGGGACAGGGCCTGTGAGGTCCCACCAGTCCTCCCTAGGTGGAGTCTGCCCTTCATGGCTCTTTGTCACCCTAACTCACAGTGCTGCAGTCACAAACAGGATGGCTTGATCTGCTGGAGGAACAGGAAGGCGGAACTGCACTCAGGGAGCTGGGAATGTTTGCTCTTCTCTTTTTCACTCCTGACCACTGTTTCTTGAGGGGCAGGCCTGGTCGGAGATGTAGCCTGTGGAAGAGAGAGGTTCAGCCTGGCCTCCACACTTGATGTGGGGCTCTCCCTGGAGGCTGGCTCTGGAATCAAGAGTGCCCAGGGGAAAATGGGGCAGGAAGTCCTGCGGGGGCATTAATACCTGGAGCAGAGCGACTCCAGTGTTCCCAGCATACCTTCTGCTCCGGAGGCCTTCTTGGTGCTTTCCTGAACTGCGGGCGCGGGCAGCTCAGCTCACCCCAGCTGCACGGGGCATAATATCTCTTTGAATTCTCCATTTCATCTTGAATATTCATGTGCTTCTTGCAATAGACTCCATGAAACATCAGGGCTGGTGTTTTAGAATATGAATGACGTGAGAACTGGCACATTCTAGTTGCAAAGAACATGCGATTCAACCTTTCTACATCAGTCTCCTCATTTGTAAAATGGAATAAAAACAATGCCTCCCCCATAGGCTGGTGCGATGACTGAGCTAATTCGTGTGAAGTGCCTGGAACAGTGCCTGGTGCACCATGGATGTTCTGAAATGTTGTTGTTATCCCCCTACTGTTACCCTGATATGAGAAGCACCTACGGTCGGTCCTCATTACTTGCAGCTTCCATGTTTGTGAATTCACCTCCCTGCAAAGATTTATTTGGAATTCGCAAATCAATACTCGCAGTTCATGGTCAGTTGGCAAAGGGGAGGAAATTGTGGATTGCCTGCTCCGCACATTCCCAGCGAAGGTGGAACAGGGAGGCACTCCTCTGCCTTCTGGCGTCAGCTTTCACACTGTAAGCAAGTTGTCCTTTTAGGGTCTATGCAGTACCACTTTCTACCTTTTTGTCTTCTTTGTTGGTGATTTCGCGGTTTAACAGGGCCCCGGAGAACAGTGCTGGAGTGCTTGCAATCATATCCTCGGCCGGATATGGTGCGTTCGGGCAGGAGTTGTACTGCTGGTGGCTGTGGGTGGGTTCAACGTCCATGAAGCGATAATGTATGTTTTAATGAGAAGCACAGATAAAATGAAGTTGTGTCTTGATTGGTTGACGGATGTGACCGGGGGCCGGCAGGGACCTAACTCTGTATTTCAGAGGCTCAGTACTCACAACCTCATTGTTCCCTTGACTTTGTAAGAACGTTAACTACGGAGAACTGTAGGTAGGTGCATTCTTTGTGGTTCTGCCCAGAGCTCCTGACCCTGGACTGAGTAGTCTTCCCCTGCATCCTGCTCTTTGCCTCCTGCACACTGCGTATCCTCTGCTCATTTTTACCATGAGATTCCAGCCATTTCACATGGAGTGGGGAGACAGTCTGGAGATCCTCCTCTTGGCCAGAGGAGTCCCCAGGGCCAGGAAGGTAAGACGAGGGAGGAGGGCGAGCTCCTCTGCTCTACCACCACCTGAATGTACCAACTACAGAACAGGCAGGAGAGCAACCTCGGGGATGAACAGCAGAGGAACTTTAGAGAGAAGAGCAGACGGGCTTCATCCCGGGCTTTGCAACTCACTGTGCGCAAGGTATTTATCCCCTGGGCCTCAGCTTCCTCACTGCGAAATGGGAATAATGATCCTAACCAACGCCATCGGGCGTTGTGAAGATTAGCTGGCACACACCGGCACCCCAGGAAATGATGCCCGTGGTCGTACTTCGGTGGGGGCATAAGGTGGGGGCAGCCTTTCTGAGCAATTCCCTGGCCCCCGCCTTTATACCTCTGAGATGAGGCCCAAGCCAGGGACAAACATCGCGTCTTAATTCTCTTCCCTTCCCGAAGTCCCCAGGAAAGTCGTCCCTGTGCCCGGCCTTGCCACCCCTTCACCCTTCACCCCGGGCCCGGCACGCCATTGTTTGCGCAGCTCAAACAAGCCCAGCTCCCACGGAGGGGCTGCCGGTGCCCGGCCTGGAGGTGCCCCTGCGCTCCACTCGGGTCCGGACGGGCCGGGGCGCCCGGGGCCCCCGCCGCGGGGCCGCTGCGCCGGCCCGGGGGGCGGCGGCTGGAGGCTCGGGGCGGCGGGGGGCGGCGGCAGCCCTCCTCCCGGCTCCGACCGAGGCGGGGCGCCCCGGGCTGGCTCGCGAGGCCGCGGCCGCCGCTCCCCAGCGCGCCTGCCGCCGGTGGCGGCGTCGGCAAGCCCGGCTCTTGGCACCACGCCTGGCGGCCGGCCCAGGGCGAGGAGTGGCTTCCAGGAAGCGGGCGGAGGAGCGTTCCAGCCGCGGCTCGCCGTCGCCGAGGCCCCGCGCCCGGCCCCTCACGCGCCCCCCTCGGGCGCCCGCGCCCCCGGCTCGGGCGCGGGGCGGCCGGGCGCGCCGTGCACTTGCCGGGCGGTGCAGGTGGCGGCGCGCGCCCTCCGCCGCCGGGCCCCCGCCAGCGCTGCGCTCGGCGCCCGGAGGGGGCGGGAGGGGCGGGGCGGCCCGGCTCCCAGCCCCATTTAACTGCTCGGCGGCGGCGGCAGCGACTGCGGCGCCGCGCGCTGGAGGCCGGCGTCGGGGGACGTTCTGGTCCCGGATTCCGCACGAGGCGCTGACGGGGCCGCTCCCGCCCGCCTCGCCGCCGCGCGCGCCGGGCCCGCGCCGCCCGGGCTGCACGGCCCGGAAGCGTCCACGGCGCGAGGTGGGTGTCGGAGCTCCGCGCGGGGGCCCGGGAAGGCTGGACCCGCGGGGGGGGGGGGGGAGGCTCGGGGCATTGGCCGCGGAGCAGGAGGGGGTTACTCCGCCGGTCCCGGGGTCTTCCAGGGCCGGGCGCTCCCCCCGCCGCGGCTCGGAGAGCTCGGGGCCGCACGCCCCGTGGGGTCCTGGAGCGTTCGGGGAGGCCGTGCGGGGCTCTCCGCGGGCGGGGCTCGCTCTCGCTGGGGGGACCCCCGGAGAGTGGGGGCTCTCGGGGCTGGGCTTCCCAGGCGGAAGACGCACCGACAGCCGCCAGGAGCGGTGAGCGTCGGGAGGTGCCGCCGCCTGGCCGGAGGGTCTCGAGCGCCCGGAGCGCCCGCCGGGGGCCGCGGCCACGCGCCCGCGGGCAGAGCGAGCCTACGGCGCCGGGGACGCGCGGGCGCAGGAGGAGCCACCGCCGGGCGGCGGGGCGGCCGGGGCGAGCCGGCGAGGGGGACGCGCGGGCCCGGGGCCCGGCACCGGCCGCCTCCCTTCGGCCCGGAGTCGCCGCCTCAGGTCGGCAACAGCAGCGCATTTGCGGATCGCATTAGGCCAGGCCCTTAATGCTTTCTCCAGATGGAGAGAAGCCACCGACCCGCCCCCGGACACCGGCTCCGCCAAGGCGCCCGCGAGGCGAAGCGAGAGGCGAGTGTGACTTCGGCTTTTCCAGGCGCGACTCCTACTGATTTCCCTGTAAACTGTCAGGAGAACTCGGCAGAAACCCCCCGCGGCCCTGCGGGGCGCAGGGGGGCCTCTAGTGGTTCGCCCTCACCTAATTTGGGAGGTTGTGTTGGGCGGGCGCTGAGGCTGTGCCCTCTGAACCTCCCCAGACTCAGCTCTCAGACCCCTCTGGCTGCAGGTCTGGGGTTCGGACAGCACGCGGTGTCATCTGCTGGGGAAAGCCTTGAACTATCCGAAGACGTGCGTTCCAGTCCCAGAGCAGTCACCATCTTGCTGTGTGACCTTAGGCAGGTCCCTTCCCCTCTCTGGGCTGGCTTGGTTGGTCTTAGATTCATTTTTGCCTGAAGTCGAAGAAGCTGGCAGGTGCCCTAATCCTTGGCTCCAGGCTGGCTTCCTGAGTCAGATGCCAGTAGCCACACCCTGCGGCTGACACATGAGCTGGAAAGTGGCTGGTGCAGAGATGTCTCAGCTTCTGAAGGGCTGGAGGTGTGGGTTGCACATGGGAGGCAGGTCCAGCTGCCTTCCTGACCTTGATGTGGACCCATCTGTACCCTGTAGTAGGTAGCCACATCCTGTAGTGGGTAGCCCCATCCTGGACCTACACAAGCCTTTTCAAGGCATTGTGGGAGGCTCAGGATCCCTCCCTCTGATCGGTCCCTTAAGTCATGGGTACTGGTACTGGTGGCAGAGCTGGTTGGAAACCAACTTTTTCTTCTTTTGTAGGCTCAAGAGAGATCCCCAGGAGGCTGGACCCCATGGCTTCCTGGCAGAGCTCCTGGTGGCTGCTGATATGGATGGTCTTCACGCACTCTGCCCTCCTGCAGGTAATATGGAGGAGAAGAAGAATGGCAGGCATCCCTCCGCTTGCTTAGGAGCATTACTGTAGATCACCTAAGATGTGGTGTGATTTGTGTTAATCCTATACCAAAGAGAATCTGATTTTCTCTCTTACCTCCAGCAAATGGTATTTTTGGTTGCTTTAGCTGTAAGAATGATTCAAGTCCCTTGGACCCTCTCTGAGTCCTGATCAGGGCCTGGATGCCCCTTGGATACCACGTACCAGCAGTGGCTTGGGGATGTGGTGGACCCTGTCTTTTCAGTCTAGAATGGCTGTCTGCATGTGCCCGGGAGAGGTGAGGCTGCTAGAGGCCAGGACACAATGAATGGGGCCGAGCCCAGCTTCTGGCCTTAGCTCAGCCACTAAGTAACTCAGTAGGTATTCTGAGTTTACTTCTGTCAACACATATCACACTGTTTTGCAGTCCTTTCTTTAGACTGCTGTCTTTCCCACTAGCCTGGGTGGAGGGCAGCTCATCTCTTGCGTCCTCATTTGCCGATAGGGCAGATTGAAATAAAGGAGTGAAGATAGTATTGCCCTAGAGACACAATAGGGAGTGGTGGAGACAGCGGCAAAGTGGATGGCACGTGCTGGATGTGGTTAGAGCAGCCTCCACTCTCCTCCAGCTGGTCATTGCCAAGTGGGAACCCAAGCCCCGGATTGCCGTATCTTCTCATTTCTCAAGATAGCTGGACCATCCAGATTTCCTATGAAACCTCCCGGCTTTGAAAGCCCTGAAAGCCAGACAAAGGTGCTTGCAGCCTGGATTTAGCCAAGCAGTTTGTAGCCCTCGGTCGGTCTCAAGGGGCGGAGCACATCTTAGTGTCGTGTCCTCAGGGCTGCTGCTAGCCCAGGACAACCCCTTGTGGGATTAGAACAAGGCAACTCCTCTCTTCAGACATAATTTCTTGGGCATATGGGCTAGAAGGGCTTTACTGTCTGTTCAATGAGGATGCACACTTGAATAAAGACCCACACCTTGGGATCGATTAACCAGGTTGCCTCTCAGTTCACTTTCTTGGACACAGTGTTTCTTTTTTTTTTTTTTTTTAAAGATTTTATTTATTTATTTGAGAGAGAGAGAGAGCACATGAGAGGGGGGGAGGGTCAGAGGGAGAAGCAGACTCCCCGCCGAGCAGGGAGCCCGATGCGGGACTCGACCCAGGGACTCCAGGATCATGACCTGAGCCGAAGGCAGTCGCCTAACCAACTGAGCCACTCAGGCGCCCTTGGACACAGTGTTTCTGAGCCTCTTCCGACTCCAATGCCCCATGATTTCGGTGGCTCATGAAAACTGGTTGTCGAGGTACAGTTTCTCCCCCATCATCCCATTTCATTGACACTGCTCCATAAGCACATTCTAAAAGAAGCCTTTTGTTAAGTATTTTCAGGGTGATTTTAGGGTTTCTCTAGTCAGTGAGGTGCAGTGTGGTGGCAGGTGGTGGAGACTTGCTTTTCTGCCCCATTAGCAGATCTGAGCCAAGCTTTATTCCTGGTCAACGGGGGCTGAGGTTTCAAGGCACCGCGTTTCATTTTGTCTTCTTGCACCCTATAAAATTTAAATGTGCTTTGAGGCTGTCTGTTGACCTTTGGCCAAGGGCAGAGTTTGCCCAGCTTGAATCACTCAGGGACCTCTTTTGGATTTTTCCGTATCTGTGTGCCTCTGGCAGCGTTTTATCCCTGTATGGGGCAGTGTGTGCAGGAGATCGTAAAAGGAGGGTTCAGACCACACCATCATCCACATTGCCCACTGCTCGAATCCCAGCGCCCCTGCTTCCTGACCTGTCGCACTGACTCGTCTGCGTCGGTTTCGGCATGTGTAGAGAG